TCCCGGGCTGGCTGTGAAGATCATAGGCAAACACGCGACCCGCACCTGGAAGGGTGGCGGGCCTGTGTGACCAGCACCACTGCTTAGATACCTTAGCACACATGGCTCTCCGGTGGCGCAACAGGTTAGGACGCAGCACTGCAAGCTGGCCGCAGCTGCTACAGTGTGAGTTCGATCCCCGGCCCTGGAGGTGACCCACGTGGCGCCGCAGACGGCTCCTGACCCACCTGCTGCTCCCCTCAGCAGTGTACTTCCTGCATCTGCCTGTCCTGCTCCCCACTCAGTCTCTGGGGAAGCCTCTTACCACTCCTGCACCTCTGGTCTGTACCCAAGTTCTGTATGCATAAATAAATAACACAGAACACCTCATCAAAAGAACTCAGAGTTTGTTCTAACATAGGTTGGCCATTTTGTTTGTCCTTAAGTCTCTAAAGTGAATCTGTGCAGAGGAGGGGCAGACATTGTGGAAGGCTGAGGATAAATCAGGCATCACGTCATGCTGCCTGCTGGCACAGTGTAGGCTCCCTCCAGTGTGCTTTATACTCCCTCTTCCTTTAGGCGAGCACCTTCTTGAGAAACAGATGGACCCCAAGAAGAGCTAGACCCAAATAAGTCCCTAAAGCAGGTCAAAACTTGGCTCAAGTCATGACCTTGTGTGCATTTTTAAAATTTCACTTATAGTGAACACACTTCTTTCTTGTACACACTCACACGCACACACACATACAGTATTCACAACTGGATTTTGAACGTTTAATTCTTCTTGTTCTTTTGAGATCCACATTTGCTATTGACACTTGGATGTCAGCTTACAAATGACTGGGATAATAAACGAGCACCGTGTTAGAAGACACCCTGTTTGAGAGACTCCAGTCAGGCTCCAAAGCATGGTGAAGAGCGAGGCCTCCACCGCTAACGGGCTGCCTCAAGCTGGCAGACTCTACTTTTGACTTCAAATTCTTAGGTGGCTCATGTCTTAGAAGGACTTCTGCCAGAGTGCCCCCCATTCTTCCTCCTGATAGGTGGGAATAAGGTTCATTTCTTAGTGTGGGGAAACAGTGTCCCTAAAAGCTCTATAACAAATAAAGCTCTTCCATGTGAGACTGAATTAGTTACGGACATTTTGTGTCCTGTACCATGTAACTGCCAGAACATTGAGTTAAAGCAGTGATTCTGAACCGTGATCCCCACTACCCTCAGGGTTGTAAGAGGTCTTTCCTTTTTCAACTACACATGTATGTTAAGGCTGGATTCCCTTTTATACATAAAGCAAACATCACAAGAGAAGGTATCATTGCACCCGGAGATAGCATTAAAAACCAGTTGAAGGCAGAATTCTGCTGTCCTCTCTGAGGTAACACATTAGGAAGATTTGTAAAAATGTAAAACATTGCCACTGTTTTCTTTCTTTCTCTCTCTTTTTTTTTTTTTTTTTGGAAGACACAATTCCCATAAAAAAGTTACTTAACACAGAATGGGTTTGCTACTATTATTTTAAGTAACATATTTTATAAATTTCTTAGTTTTAATTTCTGATACAAATATTGAGCGATAAACTAATATAGTAAGATCTTTGGGGTCCTCAACAATTGAGAGTCACAATGGCCCTGAGACCAAGAAGTTTGAGAGTGAGACATCTTCTTCCTCTTCCTCTTTCCGTTCTCTGTTTCTCTGTTGTGGACCTCCCTGTCCCACAGCTCACCGGGACCCTAGGTTTGGGCTTCTCTCCAGCTCCTGACATTGGGGTCCCACCTGTGCCCTCTCTACTGGACTTCTTGTAGGGAGTTGAGAAAGAGTCAAGGATATAGATCTATCTCAGCTCCTGGGAGCTTTCCCTACAAAGTTGAGTCAAACAGAACTGTTTAGATAAAAAGGTTTTCATACTTCACAATCTCTGACTAAACACAACCCTAGCTAAAGCTAGAGAATCATCTCCATGCAGAGAACCTGGCAGGAGTGCTTGGTAGCACTCCTGTGGGAATGATTTATTCTGAAGGTATCTTCTTTGATGTGAATTAACAGAGAAAGTTCTTGCTTCTCTAAGAAATAAAGCAACCTCGCTAGATGAGGGAAATAATTCTTGGTAAGAAGTGTTCTTGGTAAGAAGTGTTCTTCTGGGAGAGAAGAAAACACTGGGTAGGCCAATGTGAAATGTAGATTACAGGAAGGCTTCCCTGACCAGAGTAGGATGGTCCTCCAGCCCACCCTGGGTTTTTGAGGCAGAGGCTAAGGGTGGGCTTAGCCAATTCTGTAGAAAACTGATAGTGTGACCAATAGCACTGTTCAGAAAGAGTTTTATTATAAAACTGGTGATAAACTCATTAAAGAAACTTCAAAATCATAAGAAAGTCTAGAGAAAGACAAACTTTAGAAAAGAGGGTTTTAAAAAGTCATCTTTAGTACCATTATTTAGATAACCAACAGTAACTTTGGAGCATGTTACTCTTCAACTATCGATTCTAATTAGCACTGTTGAGGAATGTTATATATACGATGTTGGATTTAATGCTGAAGGACCACTTCACCACCCAAGAGAGTAACTCCATTAGCCCTCGCAGTCCATGGACTTGATCTACAGTGGCCATCCCTGGTGGAAGAGGTAGAGGACACCCTCTTCTGCCCCTGGTCTCACCAACATTAGGGACCAACAAGCACTATGCCCAGCCTGGGAAGTCGCTGACACTTGTCCTCCCTCCCAGAGGAGGTTCTGTCTGGACACCAGCCAAGACAGACGGGAGATACTGCAGACAGGGCGCTGAAGGGGCCCCAGCTCCCTGGGAGGGCCCCCCAAAGCTCCTTCTGTTCATACTTCCGTGGACAGTGACTGAATATCATTTCTATGGGTTTCCACAGATTCTCATCAATTTCTCTATTGTCCTTCCAACAGGAACAGATTACATGCCCACCTCATCTTTAAGGGAGACAGCACCTTTGTTAAGTCACTTGAAATGATGTCAAGAAGAGTGAGCTCACTAGGTGGATGGGATAGCAGGAGAATCATATTTGAAATAAAGCTGTAAACATCTTAATAATGTGCCCTGTGTAGACAGATGAGTGCGCTTCCATTTTAGAATCTGTGTATTTAAGAATCTAAAACTGAGATCGTGTTGTTTTAACCTTTGCTAACATTTGCTAAGGGATGGCATTCATGGTGATGAGCTCAGAAGTCTATCACTTGAACAAGAGAGACCTGTACTACCCCTGTAGTGAACTGCCAGGAAAAAGTAGGCCATATTCCTACTAACAGAGTCCTTTCCTCAAAACTGGGCAGGATCAATCTGTAAAGACCTCAACATTGTCCACAAAGGAGGATGATTCATTTCTGGTTTTCAACATATTTCATGTGACTCAGTCTCCCATTTGAGCACCTCCAAGGAAATTTCTTTACTCAGGCACTTCAGAAGGAGGTCTTTGGTCATCTGGGGTTTTGACCACAGAATCCACAAGGGACTTTAACATAGGGGGCTCATAGAGCTCGATTATGCTTTCTATTAGGAATCAGAAGCTTCTTTATTTCCCCCCATTTTTTAGTATTGTTCCTCAGAAGTCTGCCCCAGCGTCCTCTTTTCTCAATCTATCCTTCTCTGAAGGGTCTTATCATTCTCAAAATTCTAGCTCCTTTGTTTGGAGGGTGGTTGAGGGATAACAGATAGCTATCTAGCTAGCTATGTTTCTCTCTGTCTCTCTCTCTCTTGCTCATTCACTTGTTCTACTTACCTACCTGCCTATATACCTATCTATGGAAACAGTGTTGGCTATAATGTGGACAATAGATCAGATGGACCCAGATGGAAATGGGGAGAAGGTGATCCTAATGTCTTCCCTTGTGATATGCCCATAGCCATCACCCTCAGCCCAGACGCCGGTTGTCCTGCTTTCCAGCAGAAGACACCTCTACTGTTGTTCCCTTAAAATGTACCCTCAGGTGGCTTTCAGGTTCACCTTTGAACTTCTCTCAACAGAGAAGAAAATCAATGACCTTCACTGCTCAAAATTAAGTTCAGACTCCTTAGTTGGCTTGAGTCCCTTCATACCTGGCCCTTGTCTCCTGCATCACAAACAATCACTTGTTCTCGAGTGCCTTGTGCTGACTTAGCCCATGGGTTTGAGCGTGGGATAGTAGTTTGAGGGGAAGGGCTCAGAGGCACAGAAAGCCCAGCCAAGGCTGAGTTGGGGTCAGACGCCCAGCACGTTGATCTAGCTGAGAACACAGGAGGCTGGCTTAAGTGGGTATCAGAGGCCGCTGGCGTCCAGTGACTACAGCCACTGGCAATGAGAGTAACAAGGACCAATGCTTTGGAAGCTCTTTGGCACAAAAGATAAATGACCAGTTTAGGTAAAAGACCAGATTTAGACAAAACCAGAGGTGTAGTTAGTGTGAGGTGGCGCCTGAGAATAGGATCTTAAGCTTTGAGAGGTGGGAGTTTAAGGGCCCCTGCCCCTAAAGAACTGAGGTTCCAAAATAGCCAGGACACCAACTAGTACAGACATAGGTATAAGTTAGATATTTGGGGGCTCAGAAGGTCAAGGACTAAGGCTGACTTGAGAGTGACTTATTAAGAGAAACCATGGAAAAGCCCTTTATATTCTACCTATAAATCGGTGCCAGGATGCATCCTAGATTATAAAGGGCAAGGCTAAATGTCAAGTCAGGCCTGAAAGTTGGAAAGGCATTGAGAAAAGGGCTGGCGAACTCCTTTCATCAGCCACATTCAGATCAACAGACACAGTTGTGGCTGTGGTCAGAGCTCAAGGCATATACAAGTAAAACTCATTCAAAGTTAGCCTCGCGGATGCCAAATACTGATTCCTGGGGGGACACATCCTCGTTTAAGGCAAATGAAATCGAAACAGCTGAGTGGCTCTCAGAGCCGCTCTGTAACTCTAAGGAGGGCCTCTGGGGGCCCAGCGTGTACTGTTCACATGGCAACAGAAAGACTATGACATACGCAAAGGGTGGTGAGGTCACAGAACTCAAGCTTTAAAGTGGGTGAAGCATGTGTGCCTCATTTATTTTTAAAAGAAACTTCTGAGAAGAGCTTAGAACAATTTTTTCCCCTGAGTGCCATTTCCCAAGGGTACTCACAGAAACAATAAGGTGTGACTGTAATGGCTGCACTGAGTTGTCTTTTGGATAGTGTTAGAAGGGACATAAAGAAGGTGGACCGAGAGCTGAGGCAATTGAGGTGCATCGACGAGTTCAGCACACGATGCCTGTGTGACCTGTACATGCACCCCTACTGCTGCTGTGACCTGCATCCCTACCCATACTGCCTGTGCTACTCCAAGCGATGCTCCCGCTCCTGTGGCCTGTGCGACCTGTATCCCTGCTGCCTGTGTGATGTCAAGCTTTACTGTCTCCGACCATCTCTCAGAAGTTTGGAGAGGAAAGCCATTAGAGCCATAGAGGATGAAAAGAGAGAGCTTGCCAAGTAACTTTTTAAGATGTTTCTAGTTGGTCTGCCAGCCTTCGAAGTCAGAGTCAGGGAGGCAAAGGGGCCACTCCCTACGTGAACCAAGAGAAAAAGGGGTTGAGATAATGGGGCTGGTGACTTAAAGGTTCAAGCAAAGAATCTTTTCTTTTCATCATGGGGCCGTGAGGGGGTTGGAGGAGTCTCAAAAGATGATAGAACGATGTTGATGGGCAAGATGCTTGTTGGGGTATAGCAGGAATGCCAACGTGACAAATAATTTGGCTTTAATGAGGGGAAGGAACTGGGGGTATCATTAAAAAGCTATTGGAAGTGGCAAACTAGACATTTTTTTTTCTGGTTATGAGTAAAGAGATTTGAGTACATTTGGGCTTACAGTAATGACTACAGGAGAAGTAATAATGCTTGATCAAATCCTTAATGTTTGCCAGAGGCTTTCAGAGCAGGGAGCGAGTAACAATAGAACCATTTCCTTGGTTTTGTAGGGAGACCTTTCTCCCCTCCCCCTATTTCAGATAAAGAGGGAAGGTTCAGCTGGGGTTTGGTCTCTTATGTGAGCTCTCTTCAGCTCTAGGAAGACTTGTGCAAATAAACAGCTCTGAGAATAACAGCTTTCAGAAGAGTTAAAAGGTTTTAACCTGAACGCTATTTTAGTTTACTCAGATGTTGATTTATGCGGTATACCTAAAAACTAATGTTACGTCAACAAATATTTCAAGCAGTAAAAGTCAAAAGAAAAAGAAAAGGTTTTAATTGAATCTTGGGTAATTTCGAATGCTACTTAAGAGTATCAAATTTGATTACATTTTCTCTTTTGACTCGGAGAAAGCTTTCCTTTTTTAACTTTCCACATATGCCAGAGAGTCTGCTACTGATAAAAAAATGTTTGAAAGCACGGTTATAACATATAGAATATCCTTATAAGACTATATTTATAAATATTATAGATAATAATTGTTTATGGTATCCACACATTGGAATGATATGTAAACATAAAAAGGATTGATGGATCATTTTATGTATTGATGTGTTAAACGCAAAAAGGAACAGAAAAATTCATGTTGTTTCTGAACAGGAGGGCACATAGATGTTATAGACAATAGATGATAAATTTATAATTGAAATGTATTTGACATGTAACATTGTATCAATTTACGGTGTACCACATGTCCAGCTGATACATTTATATGTGATAATATCACCATTGTGATGATAATTTATCATGTTACATAATCCTCTTCCTTTTAGCCTTCAGAATAATTAATTTCTATTCACTTAGCAAGTTTGATGATTATAATACAATACCTGTGTTCACTCTACTTAGATCTCTAGGACTTATTTCCTGTAGGGTTGAACCCCTAAACAACATCTGTCTAACCACAAAGAGATTAATATTATAAGGGCAGATATATACAATAGATGGATGGATGGGTGGATGGATGGGTGGGTGGAAGGATGGTGGGAGGTGAAAGGAGGAGAGAGACCTTGACAACAGTGACAGCGACGTTTCCCGGGAAAAGGCAGTAGGTCATAGGCACCAAAGGTCAGGGAGGGGCCTCCCCCCATGGTCTGAGGGAGGGCCATCTCCAGTACACTCACCCACACTCTCTTTGAAGCAATTAAAATTGTCACCCTCTAGGTTTTCAAGTTATAAAAAGTGGACACGGTGTGAATTAAGGATTATTTTTTCTAAATATTGGACCTGAATCAAGGGTCACTTGTACACAGACTACGCTGTGGCCAGTCTTGATCCAAGTCCTCTAGCCTCTGCCTCCTGGCTGTCCCTCCGGTCAGGAGAGAAAGCGATTCTGCTTTTTATCCCCTGGACACCCTCCACCTCCTCTAGGGAGACCTATTTCTTCGTGTACAGAACACACACCTTCAAGCTTAATTCTTGACGGTGTTTTACAAGAAGTAATGCTTTCTGTGGTCTTTGACGCGTCTTTCTGGGCCAGCAGCTCAGTCTATTTTAGAAAGGCCTCTGGTTGACTCTGTTGTATGTCTTCCCACACCTGTCTGCCCCTTCACACCAACTTGTGAAACCCTCTGATGCTATATTTCTGTCAGTTTGACATTTTATAACCAGAAAAGCTTGGAGTCATCTACAAACCAAAATATTCGAATTTCTGGGAGGTGGATGAAATGTTAAGCCTAGCCCTTACCCCAGAGGCCGCCGACTGTCAATACTTTTTCTCCCTGTGAAATGCCTTTTGTTCAACTGGTTTCCATACCCCTGGCATTTTGAGGTTAGAAATCACCTTCACATGATTCTTCTTACCCTGTGAAGAGTACCAGCTGCTTGGTAAGGTGCAACATGGCCTTTCAGATGCCAGGCTGTGCTGTCTAAGAGTTTCTCTGCTCTGTGTCTTTAATTGCTGATAGAAAAAGTCTTGGCAAACTATTTAATTCTGGGTACAGAAGTATGATTGGAATTTCTATTGTTCACTGAGTAGCTGCTTCAAAAGATACCCGCTGTCTGCTTCAGTGGAGATCCAAGAACGTGTGCTTCATTGCTTCTTTGATACTCTGTCTTCCTCCCCAAGTTACTTTTGCATCCCAAGCATTAGCAGCTCTCCCTAGTCTTTCTCTTTGGAACTGGAGGAAGTTACTAGAACATTACTGACTTTGTAAGAAGTCATTCTACTAGTCTGCTAGGCTTGGAGCTGATTCCCACACAGTTCACGGAATCAGCTCCAAGTGACAGAAACCAGCAAAGCCAGCCCCTCCCTCCTCAGTCCCACCCTCAGGCATTTACTGCCTAATTAACGGTGTGCTGATGGGCTCGGGGGTGCCTGGCATGGTCCCAAATCTGCAGCTGCCCACAGGATGTGCTGGGCTTGAGCTCTGCGCCCTTTACTGGTACCTGGGAATGAATCCTGACCTGGGCTTTCAGTGCACATACCTAAGGGTCTGCGATGGACTGAAGCTCGGCAAGAACTCCCCACACCAGGACACCATCTTCTTAAAAGTTGAGAATCCTGTCTTCTCTTTCTTCTTATTCCTTTGTGTCCTGAGTACAAGGTCTTCATTGAATCATTCTTCCTGGGTGAGGCTGACAAATGTCAGCCCTCGTGGGGAGTTCTTTGTGGGTTTAGCAGTGCCTGTTCAGTGCTAAGGGAAAATCTTGGGATCTAAGGGAAATCTTGCCATTTCCCTGTTCTCTGACCAAGAGTCAGGACACCCTTAATCCATGCGGAGCCCACAGAGAGGAACCTGGGGGCTTGAGGACTGGTAAAAGTTTGCCTTTCCCACTGATAGGGGGGATATCCCTAGAGTCCCTGCAGGGGCGGAAGTGAGCTGGGTCTCTGGGTCACATGTCATCACCCTCTCCTAACACCCATCGGTCTGGGAGTCCAGTCACCTGGGGCTGCAGGGTAGAAGTCACTTTCCCATTTAGACAGTACCCAAGTCTTGTTATTTGGCTTGACCTTAATGTTAGTGATAGCACTTGGGGTCTCAGATTTAGGGGCCAATTTAGTAAAGAGGAGCCTGGGACAGTCTGATAAAGAGACTTGCCCTTTATTGAGCAAAAACTATGTGCACTTAGTGCTTGTAGCATCTTGGCCATTTTAGAGATGAAGAAATGTATTCCCCAACAATGCTCTTCATCGCTAATAAGCAGGAGCACAGGGCCTGAAGTCAGGGTTTCCTGGTCTGCAGAGCATATGCTTCAACACTGTCCACTCGCTCCCCCAGATGTCCTAAGAAGCTTCTGTAACAAGCCAGAGACTGATCTCCCTGTATTTATTGTGGCTGTTTCACCCCTGAGACAAATAGAGGACACAACCTCCTTTGCCCAGAACCCCAAGGACTTTGGAAAATCCCATGTGGTGTGATTGGTACCTTGCCAGGCAGGAGTCATGTGTAAAATGCGGCTCCTGCAACTTCTCCTAAACCCACACATCCCCACGGATAGCCTCTGACATAGAATCAAAAGGAAGAAAAAAAATCTTGACTTGGCCAAGACATTGAGACAATTTCTTGAAGATCCACATGAAGAGAGCTTTGAGCTTCTGCAGGGGCAAAGGCCAGAGTGACAGGAATGGAGCAAAACAAGCTAAGCAGTAAAGTCCAGGAAACTGGGCCTCGGGCTGCCAAGAGAGGAGGTGATCTGGAGCAGGTTTCCGCCTACAGACCCAGCCCCTGCAGAGGGCAGGAGGGCTGTGGTGGAGTCGGCGGTGTGAATAGCCAGGCCCGGCAATCCCGCTTCTAGTCCCTTCTTGGGAAGGCCCTACCCTACCTTCAAAGCAGGATTTGATGTTTCTCATCTCTTGCTGGAAAGAAGAGCTTTGACTCTCAGCCCCACACACACCATGGGAGGTTCCTGAGAGTTCCACAGGGCACCCATCCTGCTCTGTGTTTCACTCTTGGCCTTCACTGTTCAAACTTCAAGTCTGCAGCCCCTCCAGAGAGGCTATGATGCATCTTTGTAAGCTGTTCTCTACCTTTTCAGGGAAACAGAGTGTTTCCCTCCCAGAGATAAAGACTTTAAAGTTCAATTTTCTTCCTCTGTCCTTAGCCTGGCCTGTGGAAATGCTGGCACACTCAGGCATGACAGACATCTTTCCCTATACCACCCCCTAGGTCCCCATGGACTGGGATGGAGCAATGGCCACAGTCCTTTGGGTGACTTGCTAGTTGTTTCTGTCAACCTTGGTGTCTTCCAGATCTGCATTCCATTTCATCATTGTGTAACTAGATTCTATGAGTCTTGTTTTAAAACTTTCATTACAAGGACTCATACTACACTAGGACTTAACCACACTAGGACTTTGGAAGCAAAGAATAGGATCCAAAGCGGTATGTATAGCATGACTATCACACATAGGTTAGTAGAACACACTGGAAGAAAATCTAACACCAACATGTTTATGTTACATAGGATTAAGGGCATTTAAAAAATATTCTGTCTTTTCACTTATTTGTATTTTGAATTTTCTACAAGACATTTTCCTACAAAAAGTTAAGTGCATAAGAAATTGAACATAAGAAGAATGCCCACATTCCCAGACCTTTCTTTGGTGGCTAAGAGATCAAAAATGTGCCAGGGTGTCACTTAGAGTTCAGGTTTGTGGTTTTTGTTATTTTTTTTAATGTCAAGGAATTTTTTAACAAGAATATTTCAGAGCGCTAGGTTATCTTTGGAAGATCCACCAGCTAGAAAGAAAGTGAAACCTGAGTAGGGGCCAGTGAAAGTAGGTTATTGAGGAGATTGAATGTAAGTAACCTCATAAATACTCTCATGAATTTAAGCCTCACTTCCACATCTGACGAAGGTTCCTATGATGGTACCGATTTTACAGATGAGGAAACTGAGGCACAGAGGGGCTAAATAATTTGTCCACACGGCAGAACCAAGATTTGAACCGAAATATTCAGTCTGCTCTTCATACTTTGCTTTAATACCTCTCAGCATAAGAGGTGATCCATTGTTGATATTACTATTATCAACTGCTGTTACTAAATACTCACACAGCAGGACTTGTTGAGCACCAAGAGAGCTCTATAGGCGCCATAGAGATCTGTGTTTGCTTCTCTAGGAGCCGCAGCCAGCCAGCTGGGGTGTGTGTATGTGTGTGTATGTGTAGTGTGTATGTGGGCACAGGCGTGTGTGTGTGTGTGTGTGTGTGCACATGCTGATTTGTAGTACTTGCCAGTATCGGTGGTGTAAATATCCCTACTGGGACTGATCGCAAGTTATCCAAATGCAGACACTGGATGAAGCAAAGGGAAGAGAGAGTACACAGTAAGCCCTCGCAAGCTGGTAGGACCTGGACCAGGACACCCCTCCCCTCCCACCGTCCCACCCCATAGGGCCAGTCCAAGGCATCTGCCCCATCATTTGTGGGTGCAGCTCTCTCACATGTCTGGTGGTTGCCTGGTGGCAGCACAGTTCTGTGGGGGGCAGGGCTGGCTCCAGAGGCTGCCGGACAACTTTAAAATGCAGGTTTTAAATGGAATCTTACTAGTCTGATCCTTTGTTAAAAAACAGTTCTAAGTATACATTTAATAGTAGTAATAGTCATGGTAATAGGGCCTTCCCTGGTGGTGCAACAGGTTAAAGCACAGCACCAGGAAGTTAGCTGCAGCTGCTTCAGCAGGGAGCTGACCCACATGGTGCAGCAGGGAGCTGACCCACATGGTGCAGCAGGGAGCTGACCCACATGGTGCAGCAGGGAGCTGACCCACATGGTGAACCCTCCTGTCTCACTCACTGCTCCCCTCAGGAGTGTCCTTCGTCAGTCTGCTCCCATTCTGTCTCTGGTGAGTCTTCTCACTACCCTTGGTCTACACCCCAGTTCTGTATGCATAAATAAATGAATCTTAAAGTAGTCATAGTAATAGCCAAGGATTATAATCAGCCCAGCACAGAATTAGGTAAATTACATAATCTCATCTAACCTTGGATTGCCCTTTGAAGTATAGATGCTGTTACCCCGATTTTACAGATGAGGAAAGTGAACCACAGAGATTAAGGAACCTGCCTAATTTCCACAGCTACTAGGATCAGACCTAAATCCAAGGAGAAAGATCTGGAAGGCCAAGTATCCATGTGTTGCAAATGGAGGTTTAGCTGTGGAAAGAGTGATTTGCATGAAAGACACTCATTTTTTACTTTACAAAAAGTAGCACTTGACTTTTCCTAGTGACTAATGTTTACCTTTGCTATTTAAAACAACAGAACAGAATATTGCCTCATAAGTTGTGTCTGAGATCTGAGGTCCGAGCTTTCTCCTTTTATCCTTTTTCTAAATTCCAGACTGAGAAGAACAACAAATAGAATCCTGGCCTCTTCTTGCTGTAGCAGTAACATTTTAGGATCGGTGAACGTGTGTGGCTTTGAACCTGATCAAGTCAAAGTTCGAGTGAAGGACGGAAAGGTGTGTGTGTCAGCTGAGCGGGAGAACCGGTACGACTGCCTTGGATCGAAAAAGTACAGCTACATGAACATCTGCAAAGAGTTCAGCCTGCCACCGTGTGTGGACGAGAAGGACGTAACATACTCCTACGGGCTCGGCAGTTGTGTCAAGATCGAATCTCCATGCTACCCGTGTGCTTCTCCCTGCAACCCCTGCAACCCCTGCAACCCCTGCAATCCCTGCAATCCCTGCAATCCCTGCAGCCCCTGCAGCCCCTGCAGCCCACTGTGTGACCCTTGCAACCCATGTTATCCGTGCGGAAGCCGATTCTCCTGTAGGAAGATGATTTTGTAAAGTGTAGGAAACCATAACTTAGGATTTAGCTACTCCAGCCAGGCAGCTCTTCCAGTGTTTCTTGTCCGCTGTCATGTCCCGTGTAATTTAAGTACATAGGAGACTGAATACATAAGTGCAATCCACTGTTGGTGTGTGAGTCTTTTTGATGTGCTGCAGAAACAGCCCAGTTAGGGGTGTCAGAGAATCAATGGACGGAGGGGAAGAGGAGCCGGTGAGAGCTGCTCTCCTGGGTCTACCTCTGCCACCAAGTTCCAGGAAAGATCCTTTTGTGGTGAGCACCCCTAGACACTCTCCTTCCACATGATCCAGGGAAATGACCTCGCTCAGAAACCCCACGCTCAAAGCAGACGTGGCGACTAGGTATATATACATATATATATATGTATATATATATTTGATGCCTAGGTCCCATCTCCAGAGAGTCTAATATGACAGATCCAAGGTGCAGCTTGGCTATCAAGACTTTAAAAGCTTTCCCAGACAACTCACACTTTTAGCTAAGGTTGAGAAACTTTCCAGAATCTTAAAACTCCCTTCAAGTTCAAGGTTAAAGAATATTGATGATAACAGGCACATTTTATTAACCACCACCGGGAGCAAAGCTCCCTCATGCAGGTGGTGAGAAAAAACATTGAACCTTTCAAAAAGGTTTTACCTAGCAACAAGGTACAAGTGATGTTCGTATCTACCAAATTGTAGTTACTCTTATAAATATCTTGCCTGTGTTTTGGATACGTGTACATAAATATCTAGTTTCTAAGTTACACATTTTTTAAATGATTTTTGTGAATAACAAGTTAGCCTGAAGCATTAATGGAATACATTGGGGTACTGAAAGGCGGAGGAATCTCTGTCCTCTTCAGGTTTCCACTCTGGCACTCCTGGCCACATTTCATTCTTTTATTCACCCGCCCACCTATGCTCCTATCACACTAGTAAGTCATGATCCAACCCGCCAGCCAGACTTTCATCATTCTGCTTGCCAAGTGCTATGCTCTGACACAGGTACAGATAGAAAAAAAATGCCCTTTTTTCAAGTGGCTCCGATTAAATTTAAGGAGCGGTCTTGCGAAGGGCCGGGGGAAGAAGAGTGCCCCAAAAAGCTGAATTGACATGGGAAAGAGGAGCTGGAAGGGAGTTCCGACTGGCCACAGGCATTTCCCTGTTAACGTCCTGCCTGGCGGGAGGACACAGGCTGGCTCCTTTGGCTCAGACCCCAGCCTCAGGTGGGTGGGTTGCCAGGTGAGCTAGTGAGCAGGCTTTCCCTGCTACCCTCAGAGGGAAAGACTTGACAAAAAGGCAAGTGTTTATTGAGCATCTGATACAAGCCAAGCCAGATCCCAGGAGCTGTTATCAATGAGAAGTCACTTTCCAGGAGCTTCTCACAGCAGAAGCTAGACTGACACCATAATAGAATTGTTGAGATACTAGTCAGTAGCCCATTAGCCAAATTTTATGGTGTGGTTGCTGAGAGCCCTCCAGCGTCAGAGAACATGTGTGGGAGGGGAAGCGAGCCAAAGAAGGAAGCAGAACCTGGGTGTGGATCTCTCTGAGGTCTTGGAGAAAGGCAGGCCTTTTTCCATGAACCAAGTGGGTTTCTGAGAATGAGAAAGTTGTCATAAGAGAAACATTCTTCACTAGCTGGATGGACTCCTGTGCTTGGACAGCTCTATGGTGGCCTTTCATACTCTTGCAGATCAGAATTCCAGCAGAACACTGTACTCCACCTCCCAGGGTAGAGATAAGAATAGGGGGGTCAGGGTGTCTCCTGAATAGGCAGAGGCAAGAAACTGGCCCCAAGGGTAAATGAAAGATGAGGGAGGCTCTGAGCTACTTCACTGTCCAGTGTACTTATAAAGAATACACTGCCTTCTCATAAATGTGCTTGGTAAATAAAACTTAAGGCTGCAGATGAAGGTAATTACAGTGCTTAGTGAACACAAAATGCATCCTAGACCTGTTAAATAGCATCATGAACAAGGTTTCTCAGGTGCAGGAGCAAAGGGAACCCACCCAATGACTATGATGTATTGTCTGAGGGATTTCTTTCAAACCTCAGGCTGTGAATTAGTTTAAAAAATAACATTAGAGATCCTCAGACAACTGGTCTTCAGTCATGGCAAGCTAGCTTTGTTTAGTGGATTGCTCATGTTCCCAGAACTAGTGGTATAAGTTAAATGATTTCAATTTTTCTCCCCTACACAGAAATTCTGTTTATAT